TCTGCTCTAATGTTCTCGTTGTGGTAGTGTTGGCAAGTTTTTAGACTTGTTGCCATATCACAACTATTCTTGGGCATGTGCTAATCACTCCTCGGACCAGCATAGTTGATCAGGCTATGCCACTCCCAAGACTGACCATACATCCCCGAGTTTACCTGTGATATCCAACAATCATTACTTTTGTTTTGTTCTAGAATGATGTTGACCTTAGTATGTATGTATGCATGTATACTTTTAATAAGAAACTATTTATTTCTAAAAGTATAGTTGTTTTGAAACTTTAAATCAGAGAACTTAGTCCCAATGCATTTATAGTTTGTATATCTTATGTGGTTCGATATACTGAGTTCACTATAAACAATGCTCTGATACCAATCGACCCTTGTCACACCCCCAAACCAAGGATGGCGGAAACGTCCGGGGGTGGAGGACTTCATGTAGAGTATCACAACAATGAGTATAATAGTGCCCAAAGTAAATACAACCATCACAAATATAATTAAAACGTTACATCAAAGCACATGTTTACATGATTCACATCAATTACATTATGATACAAAATGAACTGTTTGACGATTTATCGTCCCATCCTCAAAACGTTGTTGATTTCCTGTTTTCACTGAATTCCTGAGAATACAAGTAGTTTTGAAAAGTGTCAACACAAAGGTTGGTGAGTTCATAAGAGATTTCGTTAGAAAAGTAAACCGTTTTCCTTGTAAAAGCGTTAGAATATGTATCCAGAAAATCCGATATTTTCTTTAAAATCTGTGTAATGTAGTCTTATGACCGAAGACCAAAATGTATAAGTAACCTTTCTTACTAATAGAAAATGTTATGTATTTAAATGGACATGGACGCGTTTGAATTAAATGAAATTTCCGTATGTTCTCATGTTTGTTAATACTTTATATATATGTAGTCCTAAATCCGAGGACCGAGAAATAACAAGTATTGACCATACTTAAAGGTATAAATGTGGTTTCAAATGATGTGTAGTCGTAACTACCAAAACCAAAAGTGTACAGTAATATCTGTACTCATTGAGATAAAAATGATTTTAAATCGACATAAAACCCATTTAGGTTTTATAAATAAAATCCCGTAAACTTTATGGATTGTTATATCCCTATGTGAGTCGCTATAATCATACTATGACTATGTGAACCTGCCACGACGTTTCTCAGGCGTCGCGAAAACTGAAATGACATTTGTCACCCGTAGACCTGCAGGTCCCACTGTAGCTAGCAGCAAGGTGTGGGGTGTCAAACCCAATATAGATCTATATACAAGTATCACGTTCTCCCTCAGCGAGATTCTGATTATAACTACCAGGAATTATATCCCGCACTCAGACGTACAGGGAGAGAATGTCTCACAATATAGGTTAACAAGTTTATGTGAAATGTGTGTGAATATAAATCTTTTCTGTATGAACGTACCCTTTTTGTACGAGTGTTTGTGTGATGTATCATAAACTATACCTATTATAGTTTATCTAAAACGTTTGTAATATGTAAGAACTCTTTTATGGAAATGCATAAATGTTATGAATCCATTAAACTATACTTTTTATAGTTTATTATACGTGTTCTAAAATGAATGTATAATATTTATTATGAATGACTTAGTTTCAGTTCATGATGATAAACTAACAAAGAAACACATTCAATAATTAGAACTTATGATTATACACTTTGCTCAACATAATACAAAGTGTTATGATATTTATATGTTGTTGGCTAACTTTAGCCATTCTGCACTGTTTTGGAAAAATCATAGAAAAATCATACGAAGTTGACAACTAGATCTGTAAATTCTGAGAGTTCACAAAATGTGTCTAGTTTACTCATAATTTTTATCACGATTTTTAATGACCTCCAACTTGGGTGAAAAAGTCCATAATCACAGACTGGTCCGGATTGTTGTTTGAAATGATAGGCAGTTTTATAAAAATCACCATAAATTGTAGAAAAATCATATGGAGATGTGCAAGTAGTCATTTTAAAGCTAAGAACTTGATCTATTTGCACCTTATACAGTTTTGAAAACAAAAATGTTTAAGTTGCCCAAAACAGTCCGTGAATGGAGTTAAACTTTTCTGATGAAGGCTGTTAGAAAAACTTATTATGTTCTTGGTGTTTTAACTTGTATTCCCCCCTAAAAACTTGAGAAAACATGAAAATGTAGGGGTATGAACTCACCTTGAGTGATTTCAGTAGATAAGTGTTGCAGAAGAGAAGTGTTCAACCCAAGAACACTTGAAGAATCACTTGAAGATTCGAAGCTCTAACCATTATGATGGAGTTTGTGTAAGATATCCATGATTTGAGTGGAAATAAGTGAGATATTCATAAGGAGAATGAATTATGCTTACCAAATGTGGAAGAACACTTGAAAATCAGCCTTGAATCTCGAATTTGGTGGAGAAAAAGTTTGAGAGAAAAGTGGTGTTTGATACTTAGTGAAATGAGAGCAAATGAGAGAAATGAGGAGAGAGGGTGTTTTGTTCCAGATCTAAAAACATGGGAATGAGTGGAAATTGAGTGTAAGGGACATTGATGTGACCTAGGTAAGGTGGGGAGGTGTGGCTGGTCATAGAGTGGGTGTGGGAGTGGTTGCTTGTGTTATAAGGTAAAGCAAAGTCAACACTCCACCTCTTTGTACTTTACCCACTTACTTTTATTATTTAAATAAAGATTTCTATGAAAATATGATTAAATTGTGAATATTTAGGGTTTATTATGTTAAAATATGATTTTGGGTGGAAATCCCGCGTTAAATTATTAAAAACGGGCCTTAAACGCAAAACTACGCGAAAACCAGGAGAAAATGGGTTCACAGCAAGACCTCTCGGTCCTAGGCCGGGCTTCGGTCCCTAGGCCGAGGTTCGGTCATTGCTGAGGACTGTAGCCGAAAACGAAGCGAAACAGAGGGAAACGAAGGGGGGCGAGGAAGCGAGAGGAGGCGAGGAAGCGAAGGGTTCGGTCATGGGCATCGGAACCGAAATAGCCCGAATGAACAGTAGATGAACAGTACCTTCGGGTTCGGTTCCAGGAGCCTTCGTGTTCGGGTGTTTCTGCGAGGTTCAGGCCCACAAGGATCTTTCGGGTTCGGTTCCTCTTGGGCGAGGTTCGGCCCTGAGAGGACCTTCGGCTCAGGAGGGTTCGGGTCTTCTTGGTTTCGGTCCTAAGAGGCTTCTCTCTTATAAGGAGGTTTCAGGTCCTTAAGCCTATTTTACTCGTTTTACCCCGTTTTAAGCTGTTTTTTACCTGGTTAAGGGTCGGAATGACCCAAATGACTTCAAAAAGTTACAGAAACTTTTGAGAGAGATTTGGGAGAGATTTCACATACTTGGAGAGATTTCTCATACAAAGAGATATTTGGGAGAGATTTCACATACTTGGAGAGATTTCTCACACAAAGAGATATTTGGGAGATATTTCACATACTTGGAGAGATTTGGGAGAAATTTGACATTCTTAGAGAGATTTGGGAGAGATTTGACATTCTTAGAGAGATTTGGGAGAGATTTCACATACTTAGAGAGGTTTCTCATACAAAGAGATATTTCACATACTTGGAGAGATTTGGGAGAGATTTGACATTCTTAGAGAGATTTGGGAGAGATTTGACATTCTTAGAGAGATTTGAGAGAGATTTTTGATAAGAAGAGATAGAGTGAAAACGATTGAGAGAGGTTTCATGTGTGGCATTTGTGAGTGTCCGGCTTCGCAAGGCAAGGTTCGTAAACCCTGTTAAGCCTTGTTTAAGGATCTTACATACTCCCGATGAGTATGCAACATTGTTTTATCGGTTTGGCTAACCACGTACCACAATTTTAGGTTAAGGAGATCTAGATGTTCGCACTTTTTGATTTATGATCTCCCATTAGAATAGAGAGTTGTGTAGAAATTTCATAATGTAAATTCTAGTACCCAAGGGCAAATTGAGTCAAATGGTTTGACTTGTTGACTTTAGTTGACTTTGACTTGACCCAAATTTGACAGTTGTCACACCAGCCCCTGAGATGCCATCAAGAGAAGCATTCTACAACCAGATTATAGGCGTAGAATTAACTAATGATGCTCTCGATATTGAAAACCCATCAGATATTCGTAATACGGGAACTGGCAGTCATGGCAAGAGATTAAAATCAAAAAAAGAAATGCTGCAAAATGTTGGTTCGAAACCTAAATGAAAGTGTGCGTTATGTCAACAGATGGCTAACCATGACAAACGAAATTGTCCTCTTAAAAAACGTGTCTAAGTAGTATGTTTTATATGTAGTTTTTCTTTATTATGATATTACATTAAAACTTTTTTGTTTTATCTTTAATTATTTTACTGCTACAAATTTCATCAGATTTAATAAAATTGTCATACATTGTTATACACTTTTGCATATTTTGTAAAAAAATTTATCTACATTTAATGAGTATCCTAACATGTAACAACATAACCTTTATAAATTCTACCATGATTAATGTGCATCTTATCTCAAACTGAAAATTGAAACAAACAAGGAAAATCATAATGTTCATACATTCTTCTACTTGAAAAACAACACGTATATTCTGTAAGAATATTATGTACACATAACACTTAACAGTTACCTTTTATAATGAACAGGTCAAATGTACACATATTACTAATGAAAAACAAAACATACATGTGCTTTACAACCCATCTTTCAACATCTCATTTTTGTTACACGTTACCATTTGTAACATAACCTATTATTTTCTTTCAGATCAGTATTTACAGTCAAATCTAACAATTCTTACGCATGAATATTTTGTATGCCATATCACAAACATCATCGAAACAATCATGGTAAATCACAATCTTCATATATTCTACCACAACAAATGCATATGTTAGTCTATGATTTATAAACTTAACTTACTTGTACATTACAAACCATATTCCAACACATTGCATTTTTTGATAGCTTTCATATCCAGATACACATTTCAACATCAATCAAGTAGTAACAATTAGCAATCAATAAATTATACAACAACAAACACCATTCACATTAACATGTTTCTAAAAAACAAACAATTCTAGAACATGATACTTTCCAATGTAAATAAGGTAGACCAAAACAAACAATCTTACCAAAAGTCTTACACCATATACGAATCCTACCTTCATAAACTGTTACCCCAAAACACACAATACTAGACCAAAATAAGAAAACATAGACTTAAGCCAAACATACTACCAAACGTCTTTGAAAACCAACCATCCTAACATCATAACACTCCCATCTTAAAATCGACGCCTCCCACGTTTCTATTTCTCCCTTATTTCCTTCACTTCATTCATCCTAGCCGATATTTGCAATGGATCAAGCCTCTCATATGCTTTTTCGTATTCATCCAACATACTTTTATGTTTGTTGTACTCTGATTTCATAAGCCTTGCCATGTACTTGATTCGTAGATTATTTAATGAAAGTAAATCAGTCTGTTTTTTTCCTGTAAAACCGCAATCCCAAGGCCCTTCATTTTCCGCCATATATGGCTCCATATGCTTCAAAAGATATACTCCACAGTCTGATCCTTCTTTGTCTACATTCCATGTCATTTTCATTACATGCGCTTTAATCTTGTTGAAAGCTGTTGACTTTTGGTAATTCTCTGTTTTCAAATAGTTCCCAAGCAACTTTTTCTGCGATACAAAACAATCATTTTACAATTCAATATTACACTCATGTATTTTAAATATTTCAAATAATAATTCTTCAACATACCACATGAATGTGTTTTATTCCATAGATTTCCTCAACAGAGCCATTTCGGGTCACATGGTATATAATGAAGTATGTTGGAACCCTTAGATCAAAGCATATCAGATAGTATTTGCTTCTATCAACTACTGGGAAGATTCTTCCCATTGCATAATTAATATTGGTCAATAACATACTAATGTATGTTATGGTTGTAATTGATAAAAAACAAGGTTTAATTATTTCACCACTCCAATATCCTTCAGCTTTTCCTTTTTTGGTAGACTTTTAAGGTGGAGTTTCAACATCGAATCAAATAATTCTTAAGTTCTTTCAGGTGACAATGATCCACCCAGTATCTCTTCTGTTTGTACAGATTAATAAACCAATCAATAAAACACATATTATTCGACTGGAACTAATTTTAATTTAAATACTTACCAAAAAATTTGTGTTAAATAATACTCTAGAAACTAATCCTACATCCCTAAGTTCCTCCATTCTGTTGAGTAATGATGACCAACAGTCAATGATTATCGCATGAATAAACGTGTTGCTTTTAAAATGATACGAGAATCCTTGATGAAACACATGCCCGCTACCAATGTTCCATATCTCCTCCCTGCTCGACAATTAAAAAATGATCACTGTTATAACACCACATTTTCAAAGCAAACCATTAAATTGTATTATTTAACTTACCCATAGTCTCTTTTGGATGCAAAAACTGAGTTGTATAACAACATTTCATCCTTCTAATGGGTTTTGAGCATTCTAACACTTCCTAAGTGTACATGCAACCCTAATAACCTTGGATCTATGTTTGTCTAATTATCATGCAAAGTTGATTTCCAAGGCTATGATCCTATCTAGCATACATGGGGAACAATTTTAACTTAAATAATAGATAGAACTACATACCTTGTTGTTGTGGGTGTTCCTTGAAACCTTGTGAGCCTAGCATCCCAAGTGTGATGCCTCAAATGCTTCACACAACACCAAATGCTATGGAGTAAACTTGGAGAGAATGTATAACACACAAAATCGGTTCTAGCCCTCTTGTTTCTTGTCTAACCGATTTTAAGGAGAACACATGAGCTTTATATAGTGTTGACACATCTAGGATAACACCTTAATGTGTCATGACTCTTCATTTCCATGACCCATGGGTTTGTAACTCCCATGGAGCCTCCATGGACCATCCAATGGGTATAACCCATCTTGATTATTCATGGAGCCTCTTAGCCCACTATATAAGTTATGGATGATTTACATAATCAATCCATACATTTAATTAGTTGTCTTTTCATCACTTAATTAATTCTTGATCAAACTAATTAAATAATATTATTAATATATTAGAACTTATAATATATTAATAAACCATATGTGTTATTTCTCTCATTTAGTTTATTCAATTGCATGGTGCCATGCAACCCAAATGGACCATGTCGGGTGGGGTCAAGTATTTACCAGAAATAGTTATGGACGTAGACACTTTATCCAACAGTCTCCCACTTGGATAATTCTAATAACTATAATTGCAATACTTCAGGAACCGATCGGCAATCGTAGCTCTTTCAAGGTTTCTCGGAAATGAGAAAATGATGGTACGCCATTTCAGATAAGTGATCATATAATTCTCTGTTCTACATATCAACCAGACAAACACATGGAACATGGTCTTGCTTATTGTCCAACAGTTTGTTTCCTGATTTCTGATTTGTTTGACAAAGAACTTAATTGAACACATCAACTTAGTTCTGACCAGGCCCGGTACATAGGTCAAAACAAAATCATCGAGGGGCCCAGATATCAGCCTCTAATCCAAGAAGGAACAGATAAACTTTGACTCATATGTTGTTCTACTACTTGTTAAATTACACACAAACGCACGTTTTATAACATCGAGTTACCAATGCGGTTTCGCACGTTCAATGCATAACTAACTCATAGTTAACAAGTCATATCTCTAGGTTTGAAGACTTATATGATATTACCGTCTCGCGATCACTCGAGATAAATTCCAAGAAGTGATGTCAGCGAGCGTGGGTTGAATCCAATACTCAGAACTTATGAGCACTCATGAGTGTTGAGGCCATGTCCAACATCTTAGACCTCTACAACCAACTCATGACAGTCTTATTTCATATCTACTTCCAACATATGACCGACTGTGGATAATTTGAATAATATGTAAAACAACATAAATATTCTGGAGATGCTTAACCCTACCCAGTCCCTTCGTGAGGGGATCTGTCGGGTTCTCATCTGATGATACTCTCTTTGCCACGAGAAGTCCTTCTTCTATACGATGTCTAATGAAATGATATTTTCTGTCGATGTGTCTGGATCTCCCATGATCCCTTGGTTCCTTTGCTAAGGCAACTGCACTTTCACTATCACAGAAAATCTCTATAGGCTCCGATATAGCTGGTACAACTCCAAGGTCTCCAATGAAGTTCTTTAGCCACATAGCCTCTTTTGCCGCCTCACTTGCCGCTATATACTCTAATTCGCAAGTTGAATCAGCCACTATCTCCTGCTTGGAACTTTTCCAAGAGATTGCTCCTCCATTTAAGGTAAAGACCCGGCCTGACTGAGAGCGGAAATTATCCCTATCAGTCTGGAAGTCAGCATCAGTATACCCTACAACTCTCAAGTCATCACTCCCACCAAGGGTAAGGACCCATTTCTTAGTCCTCCGCAGGTACTTGAGAATGTTCTTTACTGTAGTCCAGTGAGCCTTACTAGGATTCCTGTGATACCTGATAACCATGCTTAAAGCAAAGGCTACATCAGGACGAGTAAAGGTCATAGCATACATGATCGAGCCTACTGCCGAAGCATAGGATATCCGACTCATTTCTGTTATCTCATCCTCAGTACTCGAGCTCTGAGTCTTACTCAGTCTAGTGTTACTCTGGATGGGTAACTCTCCTTTCTTGGAATCTTGCATGCTGAATCTCTTCAACACCTTGTACAAGTAGGTACTTTGACTAAGTCCAATTAGTCTTTTACTCCGATTTCTCAAGATCCTTATCCCTAGAATATAGGCAGCTTCTCCTAGGTCCTTCATAGCAAAACTCTTCTCAAGCCAGGACATAACTTCCCGCAGAGTTGGGATGTCATTTCCTATGAGTAGTATGTCATCCACATATAGTACCAAAAAGCTAACTATACTCCCACTAGCCTTGATATATACACAAGATTCATCTTCACTCCTAGAGAAGCCAAACTCTTTGACCTTCTCATCAAAGCAAAGATTCCATCCGCGAGGTGCTTGCTTTAATCCATAGATGAATTTTCAAGCTTACACACTCTATTAGGGTACTGTGAGCTGCCAAACCCTCTGGCTAATTCATGTAAACATCCTCAGCCAATTTCCATTAAGGAAAGCGGTTTTGACATCCATTTGCCATATTTCATAGTCATGAAATGCAGCTATGGCTAACAATACCCTAATAGACTTAACCTTGGCTACTGGAGAAAAGGTCTTATAAGTGTGTACATTACCATCCGTGTCGGTCTTCTTCTTGAAGATCCATTTGCACCCTACAGTCTTACGACCTGGCACATTGTCAACCAAGTTCCAAACTTGATTGTCATACATGAATTGTATCTCCCTATCCATTGCCTCTTTCCATTTAGCAGACTCAGGGCCTGCCATGGCTTCCGCATAGCTGTTAGGTTCATCCAGACCTACTAGTGTTTCATCACTAATAAGTGTCTCACCTTCCGCAGTAATATGGAAACCATAGTAATACTCAGGTACATTCCTAACCCTCGTGGAACGCCTCAGAGGTACAACTGCAGGTATAGTTGGGTCAACAGGAGATTCCTCCTCTAGTTAACTGCTAGGGTTTGAGGTTCCTTCACCACTTGACTCTTGAAGTTCTTCAAGGTCAATTAGTCTCCCACTGTCTCCTTGGCTTATGAACTCTCTCTCTCTCGAAAGACAGCCCTCCTTGCTACAAAGACCACATTCTCACTAGGTCTATAGAAGAGGTAACCAAAGGATTTTTGTGGGTAGCCGACGAAAATACATTTCTCGCTTCGAGGTTCAAGTTTGTCATGAGTCTCGCGTCTCACGAAAGCCTCGCAACCCTAAACCTTGATGTGGGCTATATTAGGAACTTTTCCAGTCCACATCTCGTGAGGTGTTTTGGCAACCTTCTTTGTAGGGACCAGATTAAGGATATGGGTGACAGTCTCTAAGGCATACCCCCAAAATGAGATTGGTAGCGTAGCTCGACTTATCATGGAACGAACCATGTCCAACAAGGTTCGATTATGTCTCTCAGCTACACCATTCAACTGTCCTGGGAGGTGTCAATTGTGAGACAATCCCACATTCCCTTAGATAGTCGAGGAACTCAGTACTAAGATACTCACCACCACGATCGGATCGAATCATATTAATGTTCCTGCCCAATTGATTATCGACTTCTTGTTTAAACTCTTTAAACCTTTCAAAAGTCTCTGACTTATGCTTGATTAAGTAGACATATCCATATCAACTATAATCATCTGTAAAAGTCACATAATAACGATTAGCATCCCTTGTGGCATGACTCAGCGAGTAGCTTGCATTTGGTCATGGACTCGTCAAGTCCCCCCATGGACTTGGTGAGTTCATACGGGCAGAAAGCAGAAAACTCGGTTTTTTCAAGCAGTTTGCACAAAAATCAAACAAGCAAGCCTAGGCTTTGATACCACTGATGGGTTTTGAGCATTCTAACACTTCCTAAGTGTACATGCAACCCTAATAACCTTGGATCTATGTTTGTCTAATTATCATGCAAAGTTGATTTCCAAGGCTATGATCCTATCTAGCATACATGGCGAACAATTTTAACTTAAATAATAGATAGAACTACATACCTTGTTGTTGTGGGTGTTCTTTGAAATCTTGTGAGCCTAGCATCCCAAATGTGATGCCTCAAATGCTTCACACAACACAATGCTATGGAGCAAATTTGGAGAGAATTTATAACACACAAAATCGGCTCTAGCCCTCTTGTTTTTTGTCTAACCTATTTTGGGGAGAACACATGAGCTTTATATAGTGTTGACACATCTAGGGTTACACCTTAATGTGTCATGACTCTTCATTTCCATAACCTTTGGGTTTGTAACTCCTATGGAGCCTCCATGGACCATCCAATGGGTATAACCCATCTTGATTATCCATGGAACCTCTTAGCCCACTATATAAGTTATGGATGATTACATAATCAATCCATACATTTAATTAGTTGTCTTTTCATCACTTAATTAATTCTAAATTAATTCTTGATCAAACTAATTAAATAATATTATTAATATATTAAAACTTATAATATATTAATAAACCGTATGTGTTATATCTCTCATTTAGTTTATCCTATTGCATGGTACCATGCAACCCAAATGGACCATGTTCGGGTCAAGTATTTACCAGAAATAGTTATGGACTTAGACACCTTATCCAACACCTTCTTCACCTTATCACTCATTCTAACTATCCTTTCAAGAAAAGGTGATTCTCCATATACATGTATCTTTTGATCTTTTTTCCCCCTTTTTCCATGGTCATCATCTTCCTCCCATACCTCAACTGTTTCCATGACTTTATTCCCTCTTTTTTTCTCCTTTTTAAAACTTTCCAACACAGCCTCATCCGTCATTTTAATTGCAGTTGCCAAAACTTCATGATTCTCCAAGAATTGTGAACATGTCAGATTATCTGTATTCCCTACCTTATCCATTTGAGGTGTACTGAAACCTCCACCATCAACTTTCTTTTCCCCATCAACTACCAATCCTCTAGTTAGTGAAAATTTTGATTCTTTAACACCATCTCCATCTCCTTTGTTACTATGACCATCAAAACTAGAATCTTTGTCTTTCATTCCTCCACTTTCTGCATTTTTAATTTCTTTGAACATTTTTTCGTTTTTTTCACACCACTCCTTCAAGCTCAAGCTATCTGGGAATTTCTCAATTCCATGTTTTAGAGCTCTTTCAACATTCTTCTTTTCATACAGTATCACTCCATAGCTATGCTTGATAACAGCCATGTATGACTGTAAGTTTTATATTAACATATCATGATTACTATTCTATAACAAATAAATCAAAGAAATTCCATTTCTAACAATTGCTTTTGACCTACAAGTACTAACAACATTTTTGGGTTCTACTATTTCAAACTGTAACAAAACCATTTGATTGATCAAAGTACTTATGAACTCACCATTTTTGGGTTTTTTGATGTAAATAATCACTAAAATGATTCATGAACATATCCACTTTCTCAACCTGTTAATTTTATACATCATAAATAACATCATCAACCATGACACCATATAAGAAACATCCAATAACTGTTTTTTTGTTGACAGATATGCAATCAAGGGTTCCAACTATATGGTAGACCAGCAATCTATGCGACTTGTCTCCTAATCAACCCTTATCTTAAAATCAAGAAATGGTCGCTAACCACATATTTACTCCTTTTCAGATTTTTATTTACATTTTTTATTTATATATTACCTGGAAAATCAACCTTGAAATTTAGGGTTAGGAAGCACATGACTATGCAATCTACCTGAAAATGAATCCAAGTGAATATTTCAACACGTAAGATTCACTGTGAAGGGAAAATAAATTTGCAATTAAAACATAAGTGAATATAATTTCGGAGAACACATGTTTTAGCTTCAAACTCAAAGCAATTATGGCTTACTTATAACTAAATCTGCATTGTTGTGGTGTCCCTTCAAGCCTTCAGCCGCAAAAGAAAGAATACCTGATTTAGACTGGACTTTTAAGAAATTAAGTTAATTTTTAAAGATGTCACTCGACAAATTTCACAAACATAACAATACACATACATATACCGATAATTTTGCTAAATATTAAAAAGCATACAATATGTGGTCAGCGTTACCTGTATGCATACCAACATTTCCTTACACAAAAATCTTGATAAAATATGAAGATTAATGAGTGGGGGCCTTTCCGACCATCTAATAGATAAGCTTATTAATTGTGGGGTTCCAAGGTTCAGAGAAAATAACAAGTCAAGAAGAAAGATGAAAAACAACGTTTTTAAGGGTTTAAAATCATACCTGCAGTTCTTTTGCGTGTGTGCTTGAAGATCTGATAAAGGCGATGACATACGTTTTTGAGAGGAAAAGTGATAACGAATGAGAGAGACAAAAATGGCCGCCCCAAATTCAAGCAGCGAATGATGAAGCCAACATTGGTTTGGGATGTTTTAGAGAAAAACGAAGGGCGAAAGTGGTAAAGATCCAATCTTTGTTCGATGATGTGCTGGTTTCCGTGGTGTGATGGTCTCCAATTGACGGAATTGGAATGTTAGGGTTTTAATTTTGGTTTTTGAAATGTAAAATATTGAAATTGGTTAGATATTCATTTTGATTGGGATGACGGATTCAAACTTTTATTAACAAACAGGAGAAAAAGACTAACATATTGGGGAAGAACAGAAGTCGGTGTTGGTGGTGTGGCGTCTTCAATTTGTGCATTTTTTTAATCCAAATAACAACCTCATAGGGTTTAGGCAAACATTGTGAGTTTTATGGTTGTAGTGAACATCACAAATGCTAGATTAAAAATGGCGAGACATAGGAAATGTGTGCACCTGAACGACTATTCAAACAATTCGTCTTCATCTTCGGAAATGACCGGGTGACGGTGGTAAGGAGAGAAAGACGACGATAGTTGATAATATTGAAAAGAAATGGAGACCAGAATGGAGGAGAGCCCTAGCCTTTTGGTTTCGTTTAATATGAATCAAGAGAAAATAGAGGAATGCCGATAACACTCACTTCCTTAAAAGCCAAAAAAGAACTGAAATTAGGGATGAAGGGTCCCATACTCTTTTGGGGAAGGATGAAGATGGATAAATAGAGGACCCTGGAAAATTGGGGATAATGGAAGATCGAAGACTGCAAGTCAGCTTTTTGAACTTGAAGGAACGAATTAAATGGGAAGCAGTTTAATTGCGAATAAAACCAGGTCAATATAAGCTAGATAAGAGGGAAAGATAAAAGGAAAGATAAGCCCGTTCAAAATGAAAAATAATTTTTTTTTTATGTATTGCATTAGCCAGTTGTATTCATTGTATTATTTTTTGTACAATGTAGTTAATTTTAAATTTTAATATTATTTTGTTGTTGATTACTTGTACTATTAGTACTATTAGTTTAATGATTTGATCGTTTTAAATTTATTTTTAAAATACTAACGTTTGTATTATATATATATATATATATATATATATATATATATATATATATATACTAACCGTTTACCCACGCCAAGCGATAGATACGAATAGTTTTTTTCATAACTAGTTTCTAGAAACAATTAATTGATTACAAACCCGATTAAATCTTCATTTTTTTCAATATAACTTTGTTATTATGTTGTCATTTAGTTTTTATTTTGCTGCTATGTATTTATTTTTTATGGCAAAATTTTAGTTGATATTTTAAGGTGTATAATTTATTGATTTGATTACGATTTATTTCCAAGATAATATACATCCCCATAAGTCATTTCCAAAAAATTGCATACACCAAATAAACATTAATCCAAACAATAGACTTATGTCGACAAGCAAAATGCCACAGTTAAATAAAGTTCATCACACAAGTTGACTTGTATTAAATCACCCATACATCAACCAAGCTTAATTTTACTCATATCATTCAGATGCCAACCTTTTTCATTGGTAGTAAATAGTCATTTACAAAAATTAATGTCAAAATACATCAAAACTAATGCCTTTAGTGACTAAATAAGCACAATTTTAAAAGTTAGATGACTAAATGAACACAAATCTAAAAGTTAGGCAATTAAATGTAACCAAACCAAAAATTAAGTGTCTAAATGAGCATAAAACCAAAAGTTTGATGACCTTTTAAAACTTCAAAATAGTTAAGTGACCAAATGAGCACAAAACAAAAACTAAGAATTCGATCAAACCACAAGGAACATTTTTGTAATTTACTCTTCTTTCAACTTAGAAGTAAATTGTTTCCGTATATGCGCCACCAACATCATTAACTTTAGATGCATTAATTTAAGTCGAGACACGTACGGATTCATCGACCAAAAAAATCCAATTTTAAGGGAAACATAGTATATATGAAAAATCGTTATCATGAAAAATGTGATTATAAGTTGATTAAAAATTTCCACTTTCCTAAACCACCAAATGATTAGAAATGCAAATAGATTGACAAAACTAAATCAGGCTTCAAAACATATGAAATAATAGAAAACCAACTTGTACCTAAACCAACCAAATGTCTAATAAAGTTACACCATACACAAACATTCATTAAAAACAATGAAGTGCAGATCTTCGATTGAACTAAATGGGTCAAATGTTCTGATCATAATCAATAAGTCAAATGTAAATTAGTAAGCAATAAGTTTCACCTTTTGCACCAAATCTAATTTTCTTTGAGCATCTTTGGCATTTCTTCAGCCTTCAATCAACCTTGAGTCAACCTGTTGACCAATAAAATTACATGCCAAAACAAAGAAATACTATATTTAAAACGATTTAATTGAAAAAAAAAAAGAATCTATTCTACAAAAATGGTCAACATATCTTACCCTCTTTTTTAATATTGTACACCAAAAGACCTATAACTTGCTTCTAATCTCACAGTTAATAATGTAGAAATTTAGATTATGTTCCAACATTACAATGACCAAAGTAACGCATTTAGAGTCAACATTAGACCTTTGAAAGGATGAAGGAATAAAAAGCTGTTCAAAAGTATCATGATCTGATACAGAGGTGAAGTGTACATTAAGAACCATTACTAAAAAAGATCACTATTTTTTTGGAGCAATACATCGAGCAGTTGGTGTGCACAGCAAATGCAAAAAGAACATGTGTGTTGAAAATCTACTAATCAAGAACCATTAGTCAACAAACATAAAACTTAGGGACAAACTGTAGCTATTAATGGTCGTTTCCAATGGAAAATTGCATGAAAATCTAGAAATCACTATAGCCGAATTGAAAATCCAATATCAGTAATACGAAAAAAAAACGAAGAATATTACCTGAGAGAGTAATAGGGAAACACGGAGGAACCGAGGACTTGCTCATCGTAGAATCACCACATAGAAGAGGGAAGCAATCGGAGGCGGTGAACTGGTAACAGGTTCATCCTGCACGTCCATTGGCGCTGCCACTCTGTTGGATTAATGTCTAAGTCCATAACTATAATTGGTAAGAATTGACCCGACCCGGCATGGTCCATTTGGGTTGCATGGCATCATGCACTTGGATAGACTATAATGAGAGAAATAAGACACTTATGGTTATTAATATATTATAAGTTCTAGTATATTAATAATAAGAATAATGAGATTATTTAATTAGTATTGATCAAGAATTAATCTAGGATTAATTAAGTGATCAAAAGAAGACTAATTAAATATATGGTTTGATTGTGTAAATCATCCATACTTGTATAGTGGGCTAATGCTCCATGGATAATCAAGTTGGGCTAAAACCCATAGGATGGTCCATGGATGCTCCATGGTGTATTTGAACCCATGGATCCAAGGAAATGGAAAGTCATGACAATTAGGGTTTACCCTAATTGTAACAATATATAAGCATCTTATTCTTGATCAAAATCGGCCACTAGTGAGAGAAACAAAGGGCTAGCTGATTTCATGAAGTGTAGAATTCTCTCTAAGTTATTCCAAGTGCTTATGGTGTTGTGTGAACCATTTGAGGTGTCACACTTGGGGTACTAGGCACTCAAGCTTCATGAAGACAAGCACTATCAAAGAGGTATGTATTCTATCTTGTTATGTTGATAGTTTTGTATGCTAGATTAGGATAATACCTTGGATGTTCATATTTGCATGTATAATAGAGAAAACATAGATCCAAGGTATTTAGGGTTGCATGTACACTTAGGAGTGTTAGAATGCTCATAACCCAACAGTGGTATCAGAGCCTAGGCTTGTTTTCTTGTTATACCCTGCAATTGAAGCTGAAAAAACGAATTTGTTGCTGTCTGATCATCTGACTCGGCGATTCCATCAGGAGACTCGGCGAGTCCATGCCTAAAATGTGATCAATTCGATCCAACTCGCCGAGTTGGTTCATGCACTCGATGAGTTGGACCCCCCAGACAGCATATTTTCGAGGTTTTTGGCTAGAAATGGACTAGGAACATTACCCTAAGTTGTTTTTGAACTTATAAACTTGTTTTTTGATGTGGTAATGTTCATGCTAATCCATTTTCAAAGATAATTGTCAATAGATTCATGTTTTGTATTAGTTTAAAGGGTAGACTAATTACATGAAAAAGTTTGATTTGAATTATCTTGTTCTTATGAGTTGCTTAGATTAATAGAAAAGTTGAGTGAAAAAGTTGTTTTCAATCCAAATTAATCTAAGAGTTGATTCTAAAATGTGTTTTTGTAACTTGTCCTCAAGTTATATGAAAAGTCACATTTAAGTTTCATAAAACTCATAAAAATTGGCAAAGGTTACAAAACTGAAGAGTCTAGTTCTAATTAATTGGAGTTATGACTCCATAATTTGTCCTCAAGTTATGGAGGACCAAGAGTCTCTTCATTAAATAAAAATAATTAAAAAAAAGTGTAACCTTAATTAATTCCATAAGTTATAAAAATAAAGAAAAGTTAATTCTTTTATTAGTTTAAAGTCTTCCATAAGTTATGGAACTTGAAGAGTTTTTTGGATTAAAACTACTTTAAACACATAAGTTATGGAATTAATTAGTTTTGAATAGTTTCAAAACTTGCCCTCAAGTTTTTGAATTTGTAAAGTTTTCTCTTATGAATACTTTAATTCCAAGTTAGCCCTTAGAATTTTAAAAGTTAAAATTCAACCCTTATACTTTATAATATTATAAGTTAATAATATATACATGTATAAGAGTAAAGTCGGTCTTACCGCTAGTACGCCTCATTCACAAAGCCGGTCTATAAGGTGGGTATAAGGTTGTTGCCTATAAAATGGCAAATTAATGGGTGTCCACTCTCACCCACCGCTTGCTTGACTAGTGGAGGGTCGTTAGCCGAACAGGTTTGACAGGACTATAATTCTCCCTTCATTAAAAGTATTAATGATAAATACTAAGTAACTAAACTCTTAATAATTCCCAATCTTAGTTACTTAGGAAAAATGTGAATAAGGTGCTAATCCATGAAATTACACTTTACATTTTGTCTAAGTCGTTAGTGGAGCGTGTGTGGTTAACCGGCACACTAACTTGGACTTAACAAGGTAGGTAAAGGGTGACTTAATATTTATCATAGTATCGATGGAGCGTGTGTGGTTAACCGGCACATCGATTAAGGGGTAAACACTTAAGGGTACCAAGTAATTTGCATGGTTACTTCACACCTTGTTTTGTGATCCTCGGCATCCCAGTCACAAAACCTGAAGGGCACACTCGAGATTGAAACATGCCATTGAACAATTCAATGAATCTCAAAAGATCTAGGAGTT